GGGTACAAAGGGAGAGGAGCCCCGATAAGGTTCGATGGGACAAAACCTGATTTCCAAGATTGGGGGTCCCTACCCGCTCGGTTCACCAGTGCCGAGAGCAATGATGATGTTTCATGTTCGTATGGAGGAGCTCCTTCACCTTCAGCGCCGAGATAGAACTGAGTCCAATAGGCAGGTGCAGGACCTGCTGACCAAGATCCGCGAACCGCCCAAGATCCTGCGGAAGGGGGAGAACGGGGTGAACTGGAGGAAACGTAATTTTTCTTTCGAGCGTTGCGGGGGCGATGCGCTTCACGCAGCTTTCCCTGGGCACGGCCAGCGCATTCAGGGCGAGGGGCAGCGGTGGAGCCGTCAGCGCCAGCATATTTGGAGGTGTTGGGCCCGTGAGGCCCTTGCTAAAGGAGGGGGGCAGATCCGTCGTTGGACTAAACAACCGAATGAGTATATATCGGGTGGCCTGGGCCTCGGTGGGGAACCTCCTTGGTGCGTTAGCCAGGTGGATGCTATCGAGGAGAAGTGGACGGGCACCTGGAGGCGCGCTGAGGCGCCCAAATTGAATTATAAAATGGTCGAGAAGTGTGGCATTAAGGACCCCGATCCCCTTGAGGGTCCGGATGCGGGGCGCAAAGCGCCAGGTACTTTCAAAACAGGTACTTCCAAAAAGAACACGGCGGTCGGTGTCATCAATTGGGCGCCGCACGTTCAGAATAATTTCTCCAGGAGCGGGTTTCCGGCATTCCGTGCGCTGCTTTACCCGCGGTTTGCCGGCGCATGCTTCCCCGAGCATCTTTATTTGTTCGCGCAGAAGGCCTGCGAGAGGATAGCGCGCGAACAGTTGTTTTTGAGCTGCCAGAAGCATGCATGTAGCATGCGCAGGCTGGAGTAATTTTGGCTGACGCATGCAGGGGGAACGGCCGTCGCGGCCGGGGAGGCGGCATCGGCGCCTTTCTCTCTGAACACGTCGATCGTTGCGGGCTGCTCGCGCGCCGCAACCTTTCTCGAGATCGCGATGCTGGGTATGTGCGATTACGTCGTGAAGCGCTGGCCTCGTATTGGCTTGTCATTAATGGTTGATGATGCTCGCCTACAAGCGTTGAGGCCCGAAGAGTTGGTGAAACGTGAACTCACTGAGGCTACTTGGGCCTTGCGCGGGGGCCCGGAGAACATCGAGCCATATGTTTACCGAACGAACAGCACCCCGCTGTCTTCGGAGCTTTGTCTTTCGGCTTCAAGCGCGCTGGCGCTGCCGAGAGCTCAGGGGTGGATTGCAGGGCGCCCGCGGGCAAGGGCCGCAAAGCCACCGATTGTTCGTCGTGGAGTACGTCGGCTTCGCGCGCTCCGATTTTCGAAAGGGCCTCTTGAAGAGAGTATACCGTGGAGGCCCGTCGCCCGCAGCTACGCGCGGCGTCGCTGCGGCGGGAACTTCACATGCCCAGTTGGAGTCGCAGCGTGCTTCTGCGGCGGCGGCGCATGCTGGCCTTGCCAGGGGCAGGAGCAGGAGCCTGCAGTTCCTTCTGGCTGAGGTCGAGAGGGTCGACCCGATGTTCCAGGCTAGTTCGCCGCCGCTGGAGATGCGGGTCAGAGCTCGCGTCGTTTGCTGGGCGCCGCGGAGCCAGATGCACGTGGCGTTCGACTGCGCAGCGACCGTTCTACAGGCCGGGCAGAGGACGGCCCCGGCCCAGCGGGGGCGGTCGCGCAGGCCCTTCCGCAGACTCCAGTGGGAGATTCGTGCTGGGGCGCGCAGGTCACGGCGGGCGGCAGCGACGTCCGCGCCCAGGAGGTAGTGCCTGGGACTGTCCAAGCTCAAGCTGATGACGCGGCTAGGCGTCTGCTGCGACTGCGAGCAGGTGAATATTTATTGGAGTTCAGCTGGGGCCCTACATAGAGCCCCATGCGTGCTGAACTTGCTTGACTCAGGGGCCTCGGGGACCAATTGGGAGCCAGTCGGTTGATGGCGAAGGCCTCTGGTGGGCCCTGGGCGCAGACGACGGTTTATCGCATGAGGTGTGTGACCGACAATAGGTGCCAGTGGTGCGCGCAGCAGGTGGGGGCCACGTTTCAACGCCCCTGGGGGTGCGACGGGTCCACTCTAATCAGACGAGACTTGGGCCGCGGATGCGCGTCGAGGGCTGCCCGCGCTGCCGAGCCCGACGTTATGTAGAGCCGTGGTCTCGCTAATTCCCATGGGGGCACATCCCCGGAGATCCCCTGAGGGGCCGAGAATATGGGTTGCGAAAACGCGCCAGGGAGTCCTGGAATACATTGTGTGCGTTGATGGCTCGGCGCACGGTGGGGGCGTCAAGTGGCTCCTGCGTGCTGGGTGGGCCTTGGTCTCGATCGCTCCGTTTTTGCAGGTGGAGGCCGCGGCGCGCGGCCCTTCGCCCTTCGCCGCTGCCAGCGCAGGACGCCCCGCCCTCCGAGCTCTACGCCACGTGCGTGGCCCAGTGTTTGATGGGGCCGCGGATTCAAGTTGCCACGCGATGCAAGATGGCGCGCGTTGGGCGGCGCGCAGGGGGGGGTCAACGACGACGGCGAATCCATGTCACGCTGAGCTCTGTCACTCTGGAGGAGGGTCGACGACGTCGGGCGAGAAGCTAGCAGCGTTGTTTGGATGCCTTCGCGCGTCGAAGGCGGCGGCCGCGAGCAGGGGCTGCGAGCTCCAATGCTTTTTCGGCAACAGAGAGGCAGACTCGCGGGCGAAGCAAGGTGCCAAGGCGCGCCCGTCAATTGTTCATATCCGAGGTCGGTTGCGCCATCGCCATGACCAGGTTGCCTTCCTGGCCAGGTACATGTCGGATGTTCTGAAGTATGTTCACAATCTGGGGTAGCCTGATTTGTCACAATACAAGGTAAAGGGTAAAGAAAGAGGGACTGAGTAGGAACGCGGATTCGGAGGCCGCGTGTTTGGCGTTGGTCCTAGACAGTAGAGGTCACGCGTTTTCTCGGGTTCCCAAGGGTGCTTGGGGGCGTAGGGCGCGTGGTCTTGGGCGGGCGTCTCGGGCTCGACTCATCCAGCACCAGTGCCCAGGGGTCCCAAGGGTGGTCTCCCAGGTTCACCTCAGCCACCGTCTTTGGCACAATGAAAATGTGTCTTAGTGCATCTCTTGCGGAGCCTATGCGAGCCAACAGGTGAAAGAGCTTGCGCAGGAGTGCCCAAGAGGTCCTAACACTGCATGGAAGCGTAGAACGTTGAAGAGTTCGAAGCAGGGTAAGGACCCTTCGAACCGTGCCTGTCCTGTGGCACTCCCAGCGTGCTTGGCGGCAGGCCAACCCGAGGGTGGTGCTTGAGCCCCTGGCCAGGGCGGGCATCTCGCGTTGTCGGGATGCTCGCTGCGGAGCGCAAGGGCGCAAGAGGAGGAGGAGGAGGAGGAGGAGGAGGAGGAGGAGGAGGAGGAGGAGGAGGAGGGGAGTAGGAGGATGGGAGGAGGAGGATGGGAGTAGGAGGATGGGAGGAGGAGGATGGGAGGAGGAGGATGGGAGGAGAGGGGAGGAGGAGGAACAGGAGGAGGAGGAGGAAGAGGAGGAAGAGGAACAGGAGGAGGGGGAGGAGGACGACGAGGCTGGTTTGTGGGGGTGGGGTTCGGGATGTCGACACCTAGCTGCGCCGCGGGAGCGCGCGCATTGATCGGAGGGCGCCGCCGCCGCGCGCGAAAGCGCGCCCCGCCCCAGATGGCCGCGGCGCTTGCCGACTCGCAGAAGGAGGAGGGCGCGGCCAAGGCCAGGCGCCAGAGCAGGGCGGGAAGTTGTCGGGGCTCAAGGGACCGGGGTCAATGCAAACGAGGGTCAGCCAGGGCGCCTGATCCTGCAGGGCTCTGCAGAGCCAGGGGTGCATTGACCCGGGCTAAGTAGCGCGCGGGATCCTGAAGGATCCCGCAGGATCTTGCAAAGCCTGGCTGACCGGGCGCCAGCGTCGGGCTTGCTGGGGGTTGTCGCTCCGCCATTTCTTCCCCGCGCGTTGGACAAATTGAGGTTGAGATGCTGGCTTCCTCCCCCTCCCCATCCTCTTCCTCCTCTTCCTCCTCCCCCCCATGCTCTCGCCTCCTCTTCGCCCTCGTCCTCCTCATCCTTGCTCTTTTCCTCCTCCTCGTCCTCCACCTCCTTCTCCTCCTCGTCTTCCTCCTCCTCCTCTCTTCCTCCTCCTCTTCCTCCTCTCCTCCCTCCTCCTCCTCCTCCTCGTCCTCCTCCTCTTCCTCCTGCTCCTCCTCCTCCTCCTCCTCTTCCTCCTCCTCTTCCTCCTCCTCCTCCTCCTCCTCCTCTCCTCCTCCTCCTCCTCTCCTCCTCCTCCTCCCTCCTCCTCCTCCTCCTCCTCCTCCCTCCTCCTCCTCCTCCTCCCCCCCCCTGCCTCCCCCTCATGCTCCCTCCTCTCTCTCAGGCCCTCCCTCCTCCCCACCCCGCCTCCTCGCAAGAGAGCCCCACGACGGCCCAAGAGCGTCCCAAGACGGCCCACGAGGCGCCCAAGATCGCCCAAGACGGCCCAAGAGGGGCTCAAGAGGTGGAACACGAACCGACAATTCGAGCCTTCCGCCCCAAAAAGGCCTCCAGGAGGCCCCAATAGGCCCCCAACAGAGCCCAAGAGGCCCCCCAGAGGCTCCCTAGATGCCCCACGAGGCCCCAAAGAGGCCCCAAAGAGTCCCCAAAGGAGGCCCCAAGGGCACCCCAAACGGTCCCCAAAAGACCTCCAAAACATACCGGTTCATAGCAAAGGAACGCCTAGGGTCCCGGACGGCGTCAGAGGCCCTACGGCCCAGATGGCCCCAACGTGGCCCCAGATGGGCCCAACACGGCCAATACACAGCTCAAGAGCCCTCCAAAAGGGCCCAAGAGAGCTCCGAGAGGCGTCTCGAGAGAGCCCGAAGAGGCCCATATCCTTGAGTTCCGGTTGGTTTCTTCCTAAGTTCTTCGTTGTCCCGCGCTGTCGAGCTTTCAACGCTCCAAGACGGCCGAAGCCGCCCCGAAGATCGCTCCCAAGACCGTTGAAGAGGCCCCAAAAAGAGCCTCAAGACGGCCCAGGAGAGCCTGAAGATTGCCCAAAAGCAGCCCAAGATTGCCCACGATAATCTCAGGAGAGGCACAAGAAGGGCCCCAGAGCGGGAGCGGGAGGCCCCAAGGAGCTCCAGGACGGCCCAGATGATCCCGACTTGGCCCAAGAGGAGCTCAAGATGGAAAACACATAGCCCAAGTGGCATCCAAGAGGGCCCAAGAGAGCTCCGAGAGACGTCCCGAGAGAGCCCAAAGAGGCCCACTTCATTGATTTGCAATAGTTTGTTTGTTGTGGCTCGCTTTCTCACGCTCTCCAGCTTCCAATGCTCGAAGACGGCAGAAGACAACCCCAAGCCCCAAGACCGCCGAAGAGGCACCCAAAAGAGCCCCAAGATGGCCCCAGGGAGCCCGACAATTGCCCAGGAGGAGCCCCAGACCCAAGAGAGCCCCAGGACAGGCCCAAGCTGGGCCATAGAGCGGGAGGCCCCAAGGCGCTCCAAGACGGCCCAGATGGCCCGGGCCTCCCCCTCCGTCCCGCCTTCACTCCCGCCCCCTCCCCTTGCCTCCATTCTCTTCTCTCTCCTCTTCCTCTCCTCACCCCTCCTCCCTCCTCTCCTGGGACGGCCCCGCCAGAGCGCCAGACAGGCCCCGCCAGAGCGAGCGGGGCATCGCTATACCCTATCAGTTCACAATTTGCTTTGCCCATCCCATCCCTCAAGGGCGGCCCCAGCAGAGCGAGAGGGGTGTTGCTGTACCATATCCAGTCCATGTTCTGTTTTGCTCCTCCCACCGCACCCGAGGTAACCCCGTCTGAGCGCACGGGGTTTTGGCTATACTTTATTTTTTCTCTGGTTTCGTGTTCTTTCCTCCCGCAAAGAGAGCAGGGCACCCTTACACCAGACGCTTTCACGCGATTCTTGCTTCTCCCACCCTTGCCGGGCGGACACGCTACAATTTCTCAGGTTTCGCGCCCCGCACCTCCTGAAAAAGGCATCGCTGGAGCGCCAAGAAGGTACCGCCAGAGGCCCCGTCAGAGCTCCAGGCGTCACCATACATGGGACTTGCCAGGCAAATCGTTGAGCATCCCCCCGTGGGCCCGAACCTTGTGCTCCCACGGGTGCGATTATCGCCGGCATGAGGTTTGGCGCCCGGCACAACAAAAACTTCCCCACTCCCGGGGACGGACTCGACAACAACTGATTACAGAAAAGGGCGCCGATGACCGAGACATACGCGCGCGCCCTCCGCAGATACCCGACCGCTGAACGACCGCTGACAACGAGCAGCCTGGAGCACAAGGAAGAGGAACACGAAGCAACGCGCTCCCACGCGTGCGCAACGAGGCCCCGAAACAACCCCAACATCAGGAGCCGGCGGATGCCTGCATGATCGGGCATGCGGAGACCGAACAGGTGCGCAAAAATATTGAGTGTCACGACGGGGCAGAGCGGAGGCGAAAATGGAGAACCAAACCACAAGAAAACGCAGTTCGATAAACCAAACAAAGGCGGCAGCGAGATCGTGAGATGCTCGGGAACGTGGTGCCCCGCGTTGTGGCTACGCGTTTCTTTGTGTCGATGGCATATGTCCGAGAACGCTGGAAATCGTCGTTGTGGCCACGGCGGGGCTTACAGCGGCACCATTGGCTTATCTGCGACTAGAACCGAAGCGCTCGAGTAGCGCGCGCGTGGTTCTAGGATATATATGTGTGTATATATACTGACATACATACATACGTGCATAAATGTATGTATGTATGCGTGCATACAGTTATATACATACATATGAATATGAACATGGATACGAATATGAATATGCATATGCATGTGAAAACGAATATGAATATGATTATGAACATGATTCTGATTATGAATATATATATATATATATATATATATATTGCGGGCGCGGCCGGGGGCTTCATGCACCTTCCGCGGCCGGGGTTTCAGGCCCATCCTGCCTCCCTGGTCGGTGCGAGTTTTCGGGGGCCCCCAGCGGGCTGCCCCTGAGCATGAGTGCGCCCGCCTTGTCGCCGGGCCGCGTCGTCTGCAATGTTTCGTTAATATTTTGAATTACCCCAGTGCGACCTTAGCTAGCAGTTGGAGCCTCTAGGAAAGCAGTATTCGTTGGTATGCCATGCCATGCTATGCTGCGCTATGTTATGCTAAGCCATGCTATGTCATGCTGTGTCATACCGCGCTGTGATATGATAAGCGATGCTATGATATGATATGCTAAACTGCGTTATGCTATGCTATGCTATATATGCTATGCTATGCTGCGTTATACTATGATATGCTATGCTATGATCTGATTGGTTATGTTACGCGATGCTCTGCTATGCGATGCTATGCTGATGCAGCGCTGCACAATGCTAAGCTAAAACTAAGCTAAAGCTAAGCTAAGCTAAGCTAAGCTAACCCTCTAGGCAGAGCCTAGGTAGGGAATTACACCCATGCTATGCTAGGCTAGCTCGGCATCTGTCGCACACTGCTTTTGCTTTGCCTTTCCTTTGCGTTGCTGTTGCTTCTGCTTTGCTTTGCTTTGCGTTGCTTGTGCTTTGCGTTGCTGTCGCTGCTGTTGTTTTGCCTTTGCTGCTGTGCTATGTTCTGCTCTGCTATGCTATGCTATGCTATGCTGCGCGGTGCTATGCTGTACTGCGCTGCGCTATGCTAATGCTATGCTGCGCTATGTTATGCTATGCTAGGCTTTGCTATGATATACTGTGCTGCGCTATGCTGTGCTACGCTCTGCTCTGCTATGCTGTGCTCTGCGTTGCTAAAGCTCGGCGAAGCTAAGATGAAGGTAAGCTAAGCTAAGATAAACCTGAGCTAAGATGAAGCTAAGCGAAGCTAAGACGAAATAAGCTAAGCTAAGATGATATAAGCAACGCTAAAGGGACGTCACTGGGGGAACCCCGGGGCGGATCCTGGGGGAACCGCCCTGGGCGGGGTCCACTGCCTGGCCCCTTTAAGCCCACAGGGTAAGAACCCTCCAGGCAGAGCCTAGGTAGGGAAAGAATCCCGGAGTTTCCCTGGAGGGCCTGGGCCCCGGAGGTTCCTCCAAGGTTCTAGGGGGCCCCGAGGGGCTTCTGGTGGCTCGAAAAAAGGCGGAAACGTTCAACGAACTCGATGCTCGAACCTCGAACTTCACCCTCCTGGTTTTTGGATTCCGCGTCGATTTTTTCCTATTCCGCATTTGTATTCCCCCCTTGGAGAGCGGCATTGATCGAGGAAGGGGGGAGGACAGGAGCAGGAGCATGATGAGGAGGAGGAGGAAGATGCGAACGGTGATGAGCAGGCGGCGGGAGGACGAGGAAGGCGAAAGGGAGGAGGAGGAGGTGGAGGCGGCGGGGGGCGAGCCCCGCGGCGGGCGGATGGGCGCCGGCCGCGCGAGCGGGCGCCGGCCCCGTGGAAGCGGCGGCCCCGCAGGGTCTCCTGGGAGGAAGGAGGCGGGCGAGGAGGACGAGGAGCGGCAGGGGAAGGAGGACGAGGAGGACGAGGGGAGGAGGAGGACGAGGGGAGGAGGACGAGGGGAAGGAGCGGACGAGGAGGACGAGGGGAAGGAGGAGGACGAGGGGAAGGAGCGGACGAGGAGGACGAGGGGAGGAGGAGGACGAGGCGGAGGCGAGGCTTGCTCTCTGGGGCGAGGACTTTCCTGTTTTTTTTTTGCGGGGGAGCTTTTTCGGGCGATGTTCGGGTTTGGGGTTTCGGGCGGTTTTTTCGGGTTTGCGCTGTCCGGCATTTTCGGGTTTGCCTCTTGGTTTTCGGGTTTGGGCGCGGAGAGTGTTCGGGATCGCCTCTCACCCCCCCAGTGCAGAGCGGAGGCGGGGGCGAAACCGTTGACCCGCTCCCAGTGCAGAGCGGAGGCGGGAAGGGCGAAAGCGCTGACGCCCCCCCCTCCCCCTGCAGAGCGGAGCTCAAGCAAAGCTCGAGTTCGCGACCTTTTATAAACTCACACGCCGGATCGGCGGACAATACAATATAATAGCACCCGCGACCGGATCCCCCGGCAAGGAGCGCCCCACTATTCAGAGCGTGAATTACCTACCCCGCTTTCGCTTCCAGGCAAAACCAAGCCATACCACGCGCCTCCTCGTCAAGCGGCCTGACCAGTACAGGCCGCAATTTGGCATCGTTTGGTATCTCTTGGAAGCGAGGGTGGTCAAAAGCGAGGTAGGTTTGTTATCCCCCTAACTATTCTAAAATTCTCGCTCCCGCACCAGAGTTTAGTCCCTGGTGCAGGTGGATCCTTTTCAAGGCTCCGGAGGCTGATCGTGACCCCCAGAGACCCACAGACTGCCCCAGTGGGTGCCAAGAAGCCGCCAAGATGGATAAATTCTTGACGCTTCGCATATCCCCACCAGCCCATCCAGACGAGTTGTCTTGACCAGGGAAGTGCAGAAGCATGCAGTGCAACAGCCGCCTTGGAAGGCCACTCGGGGTAGTCTTAGCCCCGGTGGCTCAAAAAGTGGGGCGGTATCAATTTAGGCCCCCCCCTCGGAGGATCAAACATGCCGTCTCGGGCCCTCTTAAGCCTTTCTTGGAGCGCTCGTGGGCGTACTTGTGGCCCTCTTGTGGCCCTCGTGGGCCCTTCTTTGGGCTCTCTGAGGCCGTCTTGGGACTATGTTGAGGCCTCCGAGGCCCATCGGAAGCGAAAAGGCGAAAACGCAAAACACATTGATGTTCCCTAGGTTTGGGAGCCATGTTTTCCTCTCTGCAAGGTCCTCACTTGAAGCCGTCTTAGGGCCGTCCTGATGCCGCTTGGATGTGCGTCGAAGGTTATAATGAACCATCTTGAAGTATCTTGGGCCATCTTGGAGGCCAACTTGGCTCCTTGGAGCCATCTTCGGCTATCTTGTGCGCTCCAGTCGGTCGCGCCCCCCCCCCCCTTCCAAGGCTCAGGGGATGGGGGTAGGGGGGGGGTCAAGACACCCTCCCCGCCCGCAAGCCGTCTCGCTCATCCCCACCCGCCCTCCCAACACATAATGAGCACCCGAGTCGCAGCGTGTTCAGCGGTAGTCTTGAGATGGACAGCTACTGGGAACCAAAACAGACCCCATGTGCGAAACGCTGGGGCCAGGTGCGCCAGGCGTGCCAGGCGCGCCAACGCGCCCAGCACCCCTATGACCGAAGCGTGCTGTGCACGCCTGGTGCGCCAGATGCGGCACGTTGTCTACATGCGCCATGTGTGCCGCATGCTCCAGCCGCCCCAGGTGCGCCACGTTCGGGGCGCGCGCCGAGTGTGCCAGGTGCGCCTGCGCAGTTGGCAGTACACATCGGCAAACGTGTCGGCCCACTACCCTTGTCGAGTGCCAGTGCGCAGTCGCGGCGGGTTGGCCATCATAGAGTCTAGTGGGCCTGCACAAAGTAAGCAATATGGCAGCACCCCCGCCGTCCCAGTCAAAACCAAGGCACAGTGATCGCGGGGTGCCCGCGCATGATCCAGGTGTTGTCCCGACGTGCATGTGGTATTGCTTCTTGACTGGGATGCTGGCCCGGCGACAGCAGGCAGTGTGTGGGCACCTCCGCCATACCTGTCACAAAGCAGTGCAACATGCTCGCGCCCCCCCCGATCATGACCCAAGAAGGTTGTCCCACAGTGGACTTCACATTTTTTTTCGACTCCTCATTGGTGCTGGTTGGCTTGCCGTCGCCTGGGAGGGAGTCTTTATTCCCGGGAAACACTGATAAACCCTTCCCCGCAGCAGGGGAAGGAGGGATTTTGGCAGAGAGAAGACAAACTCGTTAAACCACCTACGCTCAGAGGGCTCGTGGGATTCGGCCAAGGAGGCTCCAAGATGGCAGGAAGCTGGCCAGACGAGGCTACTAGGACCGTGCGGGCGGATCCAACAGGGCCCGCCCAAGGGCCTCGAGAGGCAAACTCTGGTGATCTTCCTCTTGTTTGTTTTATGATTCTGGACCCAAGAGGCTTCCAAGAGGGCCCTGAGATGCCCAAGTCAGTGAAAGACCATAGAACCGCATTAGTTTTTGAAGATATCGTTTTTTTCCGCTTCCGATGGGCTTCTGAGGCTTCAGGCTGGTCGTCGAATGTCCAAGCGTGCCTCAAGGGGAGCCCCACACGGCCACAAGACGGCCCCGAGAGCGCTCCAGCGTAAAACGGCCCCAGAGACCTCCCAGAGTCCCACCCACAGACACCTTCCGACAGCGCCAGAGGGGCCACGCGCGCCAGAGGAGCGCGCCTGACGGTCGACCGGGGTCCCCAGGCTTCTTCAAGATGGCCCTGAGATGGCCCACGACGGTTTCAAGACGGCCGTTGAGGCCACCAGGACGGCCCAACGTGGCCCCGAAATGGCCAAGGCAGCTCAAGATGGGCTGCAAACGGCCCCAGGAGGCCCCCGAGAGGCTCCCTGGAGGCCTCCTGGAGGCCCCCAAGGAGCCCACTTCTTCAGACACCTGCGGAAGGCCATGGGTTCCTGAAGACCTCGCCTCTTTCTCTTCCGATGTGCCCCTCGGGCTTCAGGACGGCCCGAGAGCAGGAAGGACGCAGGAGACGAGAGAGAGGAGCGAGAAGGGAGGGACAGCGGGTGGAAGGGATGAGCCGGCGCCGCCGAAGTGGCCGCCGCCGTCGAGGCCCGCGCGCACGGCGCCTCGGAGGGGCCGTCCCCGAGGGCCTGCGAGGCACGGCGGGCGGTGCGGAGGCGTTTTTCGACCACTGGGGGCCCGCTCCTCGCAGGGGAGGAGGAGGAGGAGGAGGAGGAGGAGGAGGAGGAGGAGGAGGAGGAGGAGGAGGAGGAGGAAGTAGAGAAGCGAGGAGACGGAACAGAGATTGGGGAGGGCGAGTAACAGGAGTGCGAAGAATATCTCACGTGTTTCGAACCATTTTCAAGCCAGGCATGGCGATAAGCATCCATTGTGTCGATACGTTGGCCTGTGTTCCGCTAGAACGTAAGCGCGCGAAGCGCGCGCGTGGTTCTCGTTCAAAGATTCGCAATGGAGGGGGAAGATGAAAACCCAGGGAATACGGAAAGTATCCGAAATCCTGGAATTTGTGCTTCTGTATTTCTGTCTCCCCGAGTCCCTCTGTCCTGGCCCTCCTGCGCGGGCTGCCGGCGCGCTCTGCTGCGCTTTAGGCGACGTTCGAGGAGATGATGGCGGCGAAGACCAAGGAGGCCCGCGGCGGAGGGGGCCCGCGGAGGAGGGGCCCGCGGGTCGTCGTCGTCCCAGTCGTCGGCGACGTCGACGTCGACGTCGACGTCGTGATCGTTGTCGTCGTCGTCGTCGTCGCCGTCGTCCGTCGTCGCCGTCGTCGACGCCGTCGTCGTCGACGACTTCGTGATCGTCATCGATGTCGTCGATGTCGTCGTCGTCGTCGTCGTCGTCGTCGTCGTCGTCCTTGTTGTCGTCGTCGTCGTCAGCGTCGTCGTCGTCGTCGTCGTTATCGTCGTCGTTGCCGTCGTCGTCGGCAACGGCCTGCAGGTGCAAGGAGGCAGGAGAAGGTGGCCCGGGCCAGCCCCTCCACTCTCTCCAGCCCTTCGGGGCTCAAGAGACGGGGGTCACTGCAAACGGGGATCAGTCAGAGCGCCGGATCTTGCAGGATCCTGCAGAGCCAGGGTTGCATTGACCTGGGATCGGGTGCAGGATCCTTCAGGATCCTGCAGAATCTTGCAGGATCCTGCAAACCTTGACTGGCCCAGGTTTGGATTGACCCGGGTCAGTAGATCCCCGAGCCTTGCCCAGGCTCCCTCAAGTGTTCCTGGCGCTGGCGGCCTCAGAGTCACCCCTCCTCTGTCGGGTTCGCTTCGCCCCCTGCCAGGTTTTCCCAGCCTTGGCCACTTCTTCCACCTTCATAGGATTTCCGAATTCTACTTCTGTCCAGTTTCTCTGTAGCGTTATGCATCGTGCGACCGCAGCCTTTTTCCCACCAGCTCTTGACGAGCTGCCCGACGCCGCGAGTGCCCGAGCGTTGGGAAAGTGTGCCGATCGTCGCAGCTCTTGGTCCAACTCGTCCCACGATCGATCGGGGAGAAGAGAGGAGGAGGAGGAGGAGGAGGAGGAGGAGGAGGAGGAGGAACGGGGGCGAGGTGCCCAAAAACAACATAACCTCCCAGGCCTTCATCGTGCCTGGCGCCCCCCTCCTCCTCCTCCTCCTCCTCCTCCTCCTCCTCCTCCTCTCAAACTCCCCTCCTCCTCCTCCTCCTCCTCCTCCTCCTCCTCCTCCTCCCCCTCCTCCTCCTCCTCCTCCTCCTCCTCCCCCCTCCTCCTCCTCTCCTCCTTCTCCTCCTCCTCCTCCTCCCCCTCCTCCTCCTCCTTCTCCTCCCTCCCCTCCTCCTCCTCCTCTTCCTTCTCCTCCTCTTTCTCCCCCTGGAGCCTCCCACTACTCCCGCCGTGTTTTCTCCTGGCCCCCCCTCCTCCCTCCCTCCTCACTCCCTCCCTCCTTCCTCCCTCCCTCCATCCTCCCTCCCCTCCTCCCCTCCTCACTCCCTCCCTCCTTCCTCCCCTCCCTCCATCCTCCCTCCCATCCTCCCCGCCCCCTCCTCCCTGCCCTCCTTCCCTCCCTCCCTCCCTCCTTCCTCCCCTCCCTCATCCCCTCCTCCCTCCCTCGTGCTTCCCCTGCCCCCCGTCACCCTTGCAATTCTCGGAAAAGAATCGCCGCCCAGCTCCGCGCCAGCTGCGCGCGGCGCGCCACCGCCGCCGAGGCGGACAGCTTTGTCGGGATGGCAGACTCAGAAAGACGCTGATAAAAATACCCCAGGCCTTCTCGATCCTCCCTCATCTCTGGTCCTCCATGTCTGGGAGGAGCAGAGGGGTAAAAGATACCGATTTCGTTGTTCGTCTTGGGGACTCCTCGCCACCACGGCGATATTTGTTCTCGAAATCTTTCTCAGAATGCACCCCGGGGGAGGTCCAGGGAGTAGCGGGATCGGTGCATTGTGCCCCCCCCCCAGACCCTTTTTGCTGTCACGTGGTGCTTTGACTCCTCTGGTTGGTCGCCGCCGCTGGCTCTGGCTGTGCTTGAGGCTCCATTCCGATCCGATCGGTCCGATGCCGACATGGAGTTCGGCCAGCCCGGGCAGGACTCGATCCCGGTATTCGGGACGATGTGGTGCGGCTGAATGTTCGCACGGCGTCGCTGCGCATCTTGGTGCGGCCGATCCCAGTCGATCTCGGTTCCGTTCCGATGCAACCCGATCCGACGCACATTTCGATTCGATCCGATCTCCCGCCTCGGGGCTGGCTGGTCCTGGTCCCGGGCCTCGCAGCGTTCAAGCTGTCATTGAGCATCTTCTGCGGTGACTTGTACCACGGGCACGTGCTGTTGTCGGGACGTTCCACCAGGTCTCGCCAGGAGTGTTCGCGGTTCGGTCGGTTCGACCGCGTCGCAGCTTGTTGCGTTCGTTCGGATCGGTTCGGTCGATGATTGCGTCGCTGGCGCCGATCGATTTCGGTCGGTTTCGTTTTCGCTCTTGGCTCGGTCGGTTTTCGGCGTTGCTGTCGCCGTGGGCGGCCCTGCTCGCGAGCCTCCCGGGAGGCGGCAGGCCGCCCCGATGTGGCGTGGCAGCGTGGCCGCTTTCGCGCCCTCAGTCCTCAGGAGTTGTCACTGGCGGTTCATTCCCCGTGTGCTGGGCCCCCCCTGGCGCGCTTCAAGGAATCCGCGCAGGCCTCCGAAAGTGTATGCTTATGCAGTTGCGGTTTTTCTATGTAGCCAGCTTGATCCAGCGAAGCAAGAAGCCATGATAACGATGCGTTCCAAGACTTCCAGGTTTTCCTGCAGTCCCGCGCAGCCATTGACGAAGTCCCAGAATATATCTTGAACCAGCCTTATCACGATTTCTCCTCAGGGCGTACCACGTTCACGTTTATGTGCGCTAACAGGAGTCACAAGATAGCTCGCCTCTGGGGCCCCGCCAGTCCAGACAGCGAGCATAACTGTGGCGTAGCCTCGTGCAAATTGTCAGGTGTGTGTGTGTGTGTGTCATCCATGTGGCGCGCCATGGGTTGCAGGATCCGCGGAGCACGTCATGAGTTGCGCCATAGGCTGCGCTATCCATGGTTCGTGGCATGTTGCCCCATGCTTCATTCATTGGATCGGTTGTGCCGCGTGTTGCATTGGGTTGCACTAAGTGCGCCATTGGTTGCGCGATCACTTGCTTGCGCCGTTGCGCCCCGCCGTTGTTCCATGGGTTGCGCGATCCGCCGTTTGCGCCATGGGTTGCGACAAGTATTGGTTGTGCCGTAAGTTGCGCCATCATCAGGGTGCGCTATGGATTGCGCCTTAGGCAGCGCACCCAGCTGCTGGTCATGAACAGCCCAGCTTTTGGTCGCGCCGTTAGGTTGCGCAATCGGCGCCCGAGACAAAAACGGCTTCGCTTGCGCCATTTCCTACGCATCCGGCGGCCGATCATTCCCCAATCAGAGCTTGCTTCTGTAGGGGTCCTAGCGGATATAAAGCTGAGGTGAGGTCGGCGGCCGATTTCGGTGGCCGGGGCCGGGTGCCCGGGTGCCCGGGGGTGCCCTGGTGGCCGATTTCGGTGGCCGGGCCCGGGGGCCCGGGGGTGCCCGGGTGCCCGGGGGTGCCCGGGAGTGCCCAATAGCCCAATCGCCCAGTAGCCCTATAGCCTTATAGCCCTATAGCCGTATAGCCCTATAGCCCTGTAGCCCTATAGCCTTATATCCCTATAGCCCTAATAGCCTTATATCCCTATAGCCCTATAGCCCTATAGCCCATATAACTCTATAGCCCCATTGCCCTATAGCCCTATGGCCCTATAGGTCACAGTCCTATAGCCCGATAGCCCGATAGCCGTATAGCCCTATAGCCCAATAGCCCTATAGCCCTATAGCCCTAACAAAAATCTGATTGTGGTTTTTCTCCGGTATCATATATAATGGCTTGCGATTGGTTGCGCCATACGTTGGGCACTCGGCGTCCAAGATGAAGCGGCTTGTTACTGGTTGCACCACAGGTTGCTGTTGGCGGCCGAGAGTAAACAGGCCTGCTATTGGTTGCGCAATGGTTGGCGCACGCGGCGGCCGATCAAAAAATGGCCTGCGCGTCGTTGCGCCATAGGTTGGGCGCTCGGCCGCCGAGACTACAGAATCCTGCCACTTGTTGCGCCATAAGTGGCGCACTCAGCTCTTCATGGTAACAAGGACCTGCTACTGGTGGCGCCATAGGTTGCGCGACCAGCGGCCCACAATACAACGGCCTGCTGTTGGTTGCGCCTTAGGCCTGGCAATCGGCGGTCGATGGTAACGCTGCCCTCTGTTGGTTGCGCCATGAGTTGCGCACTCGGCGGCCGAGAATACAGCGGCCTGCTACTGGTCGCCACAGTGTGTGCACTCGGCGGCCAAGATGCTTGGGCTGCTACTAGTTGTGCCACGGGTTGCGCATTCGGTAGGTGTGAATTCAAAGGGCTTGCTGTTGTTCACGCCACAGGTTGCACATTCGCTGGTCCAGAACTAAATTGCCTGCTAGCAGGCTTGACCATTCAGTCAGTCAGTACACTTTGCGATCAACGAATTCACGCTACGTCCGAAATTTGTCGAGCACTCTGTACAAGAACTATGGGCACTTACCCGCGCATAGCTCCGAGCGGCATTTGCTCCGCTGGCGTGTAGATGCGTGCTTTATTTAGAGTGGCCTTGGCATGCGGCCCGTGTAAAACGTACGGATGATCGATGGAAGGAAGGTCAAGCGTGCCGGAAAGAAGATGTGATATCATCCCGTGGCGTCCTTTTGTTCGATGTGTCTATGGTCTTGGTTTAGTTTGCGCGTGTTTTGTTTTGACACCTATGACGCGTATTTAGACTATTTGTTAAATGTCTTTGGGCGTGCCGCATTTGAGCACATTGTGTTGCAGATCTGACGGGAGGTGGAGGGCAGAGAGGGTGGCGATTTGATTCCGTGGTTTACGAGATGTGCAGACCATTGTTTTGAATTTTTGTGCACTTGAAATGGCCCATCCGCATCCCGAGCATCTCGTTACAGCGGTCATAGAGGTGGGGCCATATTAAGGACATCGCCGGGTGCGCCGATACTGCATCGTCACATTATTGTCATAATACCAGTACATAGTTTTAGCCATCCCCAGGGGTTGGAAACTATTCGTTTGCTTCTGCTGCTCAAGATATAATTCCTTCAAGCCCGTCGCCCATCATCATCAACATGGAGTTAATCAATGCGTCGACGATAGGAGCGTGGGATATTCGTTTTCCATGAAGCTATTATCTTTGAACTTTTTGTTTTGCGCGTTTACATGTACAGTTTTGGTGCTTTGGCACCCGCTTCCTCATTCCCGTCTGTTCCTTTATGTGTTTCCCAGTTTGCGATGTTCATCCTCCGAAGTCCCTCCTGGTGTTTGCCCCTCCTCGTCTCGTCCTTCTGGATAGCATCCAAATCTTCGATGGACAACGATGATTTCTTGACGCCTGTGGCATTGAGGGGAGCGTGGTGACCGTGCGGCCAGGTGAACACCCTGACCGCTCAGATCGAGGAGGAGATGATGCGACTCGGCGAGCTGAACGTGCTCCTCGCGGAGGACGACAACGACCTGGAGGATCGATCCATCGACACTCCCTCGAATTCCTAGGGGTCGTGAAACATCTCGACGTGTGTTTTACCCCGCTTTGGGCCCCAGGGCCTTCACGGACCAGTTCGGTTCGAAAAGCTACGCTCCAAAATGGGGTCCAGGTCTCCAGGCCTCTCAGTAATTTTCTCATGGCCTCGTATCTTCTGGTATCCATGGACGCGCGCTGCCGTGTTTTTGTTTGCTATTGCGCCTGTAGTAATGGATTTGAGATGTTTTTCTCCTTGTTCGGACGAAGGCAGCTTGGCTGGCTACGTTTTTGTTGAGCGCCCAATGTCTGGGGTAAGGCATGTGGTTCATGCTTTCATTGTTTCAAGGCCAGGTCTGTGACGTTCTTAAGTGTTCTGGTCAGCGTCGGAGTTTTGATACGTGACGAATCCAGAGGAAAAGGGAGTACCAAGCGCATCGTGAATCACATAAGGGTGGAGAGGTCTTACAGTCGACGCCTTTGATTGGTGCGGTATGCCATCGTTGGCTACACTGCTTTGTTACAGTCTGCCGTGAAGGGCCCAACTCGTCCGCTTCTGGTTTCACAGTCACTTTGAGTTGTTCCACTTGTGTGGTTCTCCGCCACTCCTAGCCAGAGTGAGTGGAGCAGAGATACGCGTGCATTTCTGAGCGGCCGCCAAAAAAGGAGAGAGAGAGAGAGAATAACAGGAAGAAAAAGAGGGAAGGAGAGTGACATCATGAGAATGATGACAACTGAATGCGAATGCTACAAGCATCACATGTCACAAACGAGCATGCGGATAACACGTTCAGACATGTGTGCATCTCGATGCAACGCGTATACATTATATAGGTTTACACATCTGCACGAACGCATGAGCCTACACGCGCGCGTACACGCAAGGCGTTACGCGTATGTCGCATATGAGTGTATACAATGAGAGCAAGCGAGGGATTTGCAGTATGTCCTTTCATGTGCACACACACACATATATATATATATATATATATATATATATTCCTTCTCGAATATTCTTATAAGGACCCCCCCCCCTACTCCTTCTCGAATATTCTTATAAGGAACCCCCCCCCCCCCCCGTACATAAATTCGGCCCCTCGGACGTGAAAGTCGAAAGTTCGGATTCGGACCCCCTCCAGGCCACCCTGCGCCGCTCGGCCGGGCCCACGAACGCTTCCCGGACGGTCCCGGGGAGACCCGAGACGGCCCAAGATCGCTCCGGGACGGCCCATGAGCGCTCACAGAGGGACCACACACGGCCCAAAAGGCTCCCAAGAGGTCCCAAGAGAGCTCAGAGAGGCTCCCCAAGAAGGCCTCGAGAGACTAATTTCGTCAATTTCGTATAGTTTTTCCGAGTATTTGGCCGTTTCCGCTTTCTCCGCTTTCTGCACTTCACGACGGCCCCATAGGCCCCCAAAACCGCCCAAAGGAGGCACAAGAGGTCCCCACGACAGCCCCAGGACGGCCCAAGACGGCCTCAAGACTCTCCAACGAGCGCCCGGGACGAGCCCAGGAGGCCCCAAGACTCCCCCAACAGAAGCCGAAAAGGAGGAACATGACGCACCAAGAGGCCCCCGAGAGGCCCCAGACTCTCCCCAGACGCCCCAATCAGGTCTCAAGCCCCCGAGAGGCCCAAAAAATGCCCCCAGGGATCCCCAAAACAGCCCCCAAGACGGCTCAATAACGCACCCAAGGGTCTCCCAATGCGGCCCCAGGAAGCTACAGTCATTAACATCCTTCGGAAATAGATACGCTTCCACCTCATTTGTGCCCTGGGCTTCCACGACGGCAACAATGAGTCGACAAGACGTGCAAGCTCCGCGAGCCCCCCTATGAGCCCTATGGACCCTATGAGCCCTATGCGCCCTACGACCCCTACGATCCCTATGAACCCTACGGGCCTTATGAGCCCCATGAGCCCTTTGAGCCCTACGAGCCCTATGAGCCCGATGAGCCCTACGAGCCCTATGCGCTCTATGAGCCCTATGACCCCTACGAGCCCTATGAGCCCTATGAGCCCTATGAGGAGCCCTACGAGCCCCATGAGCCCTGTGCGCCCTATGATCCTTACGATCCGTGTGAGCCCCATGAGCCGTATGAGCCGTATGAGCCGTGTCAGCCCGATGAGCCCTATGAGCCCTATGAGCCCCGTGACCCCGGTGAGCCCTATGAGCCCTATGAGCCCTATGAGCCCCATGAGCCCCATGAGCCCTACGAGCCCTATGAGCCCTGTGAGCCCTATGGACCCACTGAGCCATATGAGCCCTATGAGCCCTACGAGTCCTGCGAGCCCTATTAGCCCCATGAGCCCTGCAAGCACTGTGAGCCCTATGGGCCCCAAGAGCCCTATGAGCCTGATGGCCCCTATGAGCCCTACGGGCCCTATGAGCCCTATGCGCCCTACGAGCCCTACGAGCCCCATGAGCCCTATGAGCCCTATGAGCCGTACGAGCCCTATGAGCCCCATGAGCCCTGTGAGCCCTACGAGACCTATGAGCCGAGTGAGCTCTACGAGCCCTTTGAGCCCTACGAGCCCTATGAGCCCTATGCGCCCTATGAGCCCAACACGGCCCCAAGACAGCCCCAAGACAGCCGAAGACACGCCCAAGACAGCCAAAGAGAGTTCCAACAGGGCCGCAAGTCAGCTCTAATCCTGCGGTACCACTGCTCCCTTTCTGCATGTGCCCTCTGTGAGCTACATGAGCCACATGCTCCCCTATGCTGCTACATGACCCCCATGAGCCCTACGAGCCCTGCACCATCCTCCGGAAGTTCTCGGGCTGACGAGCCCTACAAACCGCACGCTGAAGTGGAGGCAGGACATGGCGAAAGAGCACTGCCAAGCCCGTCCGGTCAGGCCACATCCCTGCTCGAATCCATGCGCCTCTGCAGCGTCCTCGTACTTTACTTCGCTCCCCTTCTCCCCCTCGCTCTGCCTTCTCTACCTCCCTCGTGTGCTTCTCTGCAAATCCTTCTTCCGCACATTTGCTGCTCGCCCAATCCCAGTGGCCACTCGGCTCGAACTTCTTTCCCTTCGCGCTCTGCTGTGTTTGCGCTCCCCATGGCAGCAAACCCGCCCGCCAAACGCAAGCATCGATGTTCCACAGGTGGCGCGCCGCCTTTGACCACGATCGACGATGCAATTTTTGCGGCGTCGTGGGCAACTCTTTCGTCCACTTGCAGCGCCAATGGCGTTCCGTGCGGCGGAGCCCGCAGCATCTTGCTGCAGCGCTTGGCCGCGCATTGGACGGAGCCCGACCCACCGCCGCGCACGGATACCTCCTGGGCTCTTCGGAAGATTCGGACACTGGAGGCTGAGCTCGTCACACTGCGCGCGGGCGACGACGCCGATGCCGACCTTCCTTGCGTAGACCCCATCCTCGCCATCGAGGACGCGCCAGCGACGTTTCCCATCGCTGACGAGCCCCCTGCTGCGGACGCCGAGGCCTCGTCACCGGAGGGTCCTGGCCCTGCCAGAGAACCACCCTGGCGGCCAGACCCGGACTTCCAGGACTTTGCAGACAACCTTCTCCGGGACGCATCGGCTGCGTTGTCCGCGTGGACTCGCATGGACCAGCGCGCCGACGCGGTCACCATGTACCACGCGTACGACGAGCTTCGCTCCAGACCGGCTTGCACCGAATCCCACGCGCTGCGGTGGTTGTCGTTGCTGCACATCGTGCCTCGCCGTCGGCCTGTTTGCGCCGCCCTAGCGGCGCTGGCCGCGGCCTCCACCGAGCCAACAGAGGCCAACGCACTCGCCATGGCAGCAGCTGTCCGCGCCTACCCCGTGAAGGAGACTCGCTGGGACACGTCGCGCCCAGTGGGGGGCACACCCGTTCTAGACCAACTCCTGCGCAGCCCCACGGGCATGCACAGCCTGCTCGACCACGCCGCCGCCACTGCGGACCTGCAGCTCGAGGCTAGAACACCGCGAGCCCTCGACCTCACCCTCGAAACGTCGAAGACGAAACTCCCCGTCTTGCACGTGGGGTGCAAGTACACTCGGGGACACCATCTGCGGCTTATAGACGCCCTGGCTTCCAGGACGGTCGACACGGAATGGTCCGCCGAGGACTGGGACACTATCGCGCGCTATCTCCCTGGAGCCGCCGAGGGCGCTGCCGAGCTAGGCGCTCTGAACTTCGCCGCGGCGCGCCGGCACCTGGAGTGGATTAGTGGCCGCTTCGGCCCAGGACAAAAACCGCTCCGACTGCGGGACCTCACAATGGCTTTCTGCCTGCGTCCGCGCCTGCCCAAACTGCACAAGGACGACGGCGTGCCGTTCGCGTAGACGCGACTGCTGACCGCCCCGCCGCACGGCCGCGTCGCCGCCTCGCGCTCCTCCTCCTCTCCTCTTACACTCTCCATGCTGTACTCCGCCTTCTCCGCCATGCTTGCGCCTCTCCCGCCCCCGCCAGTCCCAAAAGTAATCCTACCCAACATTTGAAAAATCACGGCGATCCCCCCACGGCAACAACGAGCCCTGGGAGCACCCAGAGCCCTATGAGCCCTACGCGCCCTGTGAGCCCTATGAGCCCACTGAGCCTTACGAGCCCTATGAGCCCTATGAACCCACTGAGCCCTATGAACCCCGTGCCCCCGGAGAGCCCTATGAGCCCCATGAGCCCTATGAGACGCATAAGCCCTATGAGCCCTATGAGCCCTATGAACCCTACGAGCCCTACGAGCCCTACGAGCCCTATGAGCCCTATGAGCCCTATGCGCACTATGAGCCCTACGATGCCTATGGGCCCACTGAGCCCTATGAGCCCTACGACCCCTATGAGCCCTATGTGCCTTTTGAGACCTATTACGTGGCAGCCTTATGAGCACTATGAGCCCTATGATACAGATGAGCCCTATGACCCCTATGACCCCTATAAGCCTTACAAGCGCTGTGACCCCTATGAGCCCTACGAGCCCTATGAGCCGTGGGGACCATGTGAGCCCTATGAGCCGTGTGAGACCTATGATATCTACGAGACCTCTGAGCCCCACG